GATGCCAGCAGTACCAGGCACTTGTGTGCTCTGTGTAAGGGTGCAGGGTACATGCTCTTGCCCTTGAGTGCAATCATCCATGTAATTACCCTGTGAGCGATAGCATTGGGGGGAAAAATCATATTATCTTTATGATAGTGTTCATGGGACCACTGATCAAGGTGACAATTGGAAATTCATCACGATAAAGCAGGAAAAAATGGCAAGTTTCCTGTGCATGAGGTGAGCACCTGACCCAAGCCAGCTTTTTGCACTCTGATGTGTGATTTCAGTAGGAAAATATCTGAATGGGACCCCAAAGCAGTGGATATGGAATGGGCTGGACCATTCTCCCTCTTCCCTCCTTCTTTGGATGGACTTGAACCTTAAAAACTTCCCATCCTTTGTGTGCTTCCAGATATGGGAACACAGCTCAGACTGCAACAAACCAAATGCTGAGAAAAAGTGAAACTCTTGTGGCAGGTTCCCCTCCCTGCTATTTTTTTTTTAAGCTTCCAAAGATAAATTGCATTTCGCTTCAAGATAATGAAATTTCCTTGGAGAAGCGACATATTTTTCTGTAGCTTTTGCATTTGGAACATGAGGAGAGTTTTTATTTTAAATCTCCATTGAAAGTGTTTGTCTGTCTATATTTTGCTTTCTTCCTTGTGAATGTTCTGACTTCACAGAGCTAGCAGGGACTCAGAGATTGAGTGTTTCTGTCACTTATTATAGCTTGCCTTGGCATAAAATTTAATCTTTGGATTTTTTTTTTCTCTCCTAAAGAAATGGAAGTTGAAGCTAGATTAGAAACAGATAAAAAGATGCCATCCATCCTCAGACAAAGGAGTTTTTGTTTTTCTCTTGCATTTGCCTTTGTTAATCCTCTGCCTTCAAAGGGAACAAAGAGATCCTTCCACCTGGAGATCCTGGGAAGAAAAGGAAAACGAGGAGAAAGTGGCACAGCTGATCTGTGCTTGTGTTGTCCCACAGCTGGTGGGTCTGCTGGGACTTGCAACTGCCCTGAAAAAAGCAGTTAAGAGGAAAAGCCAGGTAGCAGAAATTGCAGCATCTATGAATTAAAGTGAATTCTTCCTCTCCTAAAGGAACTTATTGATCTTTATCTGTCTTTCCTGTCCTTTGCTAGAGGAGCAGGTGCCTTCCCTGCCTCCTTCCCCATCTCTGTGTCAGGGTGGAGGGGAGGGTGTGGCATGACCATCGCCTTACATGGTGCTTGGTGTCACACTGAGCTGCCTGAACACTCATCCCATCAGTGACTAATATGTTCTCAGGCACTGAGAGGCTCGAGGCACTTGGCACTTGACTATCTCCTATTTTGGAGCATAATAAACAGAATATTCCACCAGCAGAACCTGCAATTTATCTTTCCATACTGTGTGAGGAGTTACTCCATGGCCTGGCTCAGGCTGCATCTCTTGCCCAGGGAATTAATAGACTCTTCCATACCCCACTCCCTCTGTTCTCACTCTGGTTTCCAAATTAACCTTCATCTCACCTACTTTTTCTTCATGTCTCACTTCAATTTAGTCCTCAAATTGTTCACATGACAAAGGAGTTGTCCTTCCTACAGCTTCTTCTGCTCTGATAAGACACCTGAATTTTCTGTGAATGCCTGGAGAGGACAATAACTTCTCTCCCTCCCTCTTTCCCTTCAGCTTCCTGATGGTATTTAAGCCCAGAAGTCTCCCTGAAGTTATTTCCCCTGGGAGAACAGTAAGCAGTTTGGGTTGCACTGTGCCAAGTGGCTGAGTTGTGCCTTGAATACACTGAACGTTTAATGCTGCTAATTAATGTTATTACATCATATTACATTTATTTGGACTTGCAGGAAGGGGTTCAACTGCGCAGGAGGTGCTGCAGGGGCTGGATGCTGCTTGCCAGCATTGCCCTTGTTACCTGTCTTACCTGGCTCTTGTTACATGGTACACAACAGACAAGTCTGGAATGCTGGAATATTGAAGGGACCTGCCTCTCTTATCAGGGAGAGGATTTACCAGCTCCTCAGGCTTTGGCTTTTAGGAGGATGCTGTAGGTGCAGGCTTTTCCTCTACAATTAATGCACATGCAATCTGCTGGGAGCAGCCTGTGCTGCCTTGGCAGGATTAGGGATGCAGGAGCAGTGCTCCTGCGCTGTGTGAAAAGCTTCCTGCCCTCCCTGCAGGCCTGGCCTCGGCTTGGAAAATAAACCGGGAGTGTCACGGCTGCTTTAGCTCTGTGCTTGTCCTGGCTGGGGAGGCTCAGCATCCTCTGCCAGCTCTGCTGCTCTGTGAGGCTGATGCAGGGGAGGTTTGTTTGACCTTTATCCTGCTCTGAGCCACTCCTACGTTAGTGAGTGGCTCATAGGATTCTCCTGCCACCAAGGGCACCATCCCAGTGAGCTCCCAGTCTGAGCTGGGTGGTAGCTCTGGTGCAGGGCAGGAGCCTTGGTCACCCCCCACCTACTGTCACAGGAGATGTCAGGCTCCCAGAGTGTGGGCTCGCTGCTGCCACCAGATGCACCAGGATGGCCTGGTGGGATTCATGTTTGTGCTTCAGCTGGTCCTGTCACAGCCAGCGTGGTGGGGACGAACGGGGACTGGTGCAGGCTGTGACCCTTCTGCTCTCAAAGGTGGCTCTGAGGGTTTTTTGAGAAGGAGATCTGTGCCATGCCATATGACAAATCTTGATGCTTCCTTTCACTGGGATCCCAGATCTTCATCCTCCACAAAGGCCTTGGCATCTCCTGAAGCAGCATCTGAGAACAAAGGCAAAGCTGTTAATTAAGACAGAGCTAATTCTGGCAGCCGACTGCTGCCATCGCAATGTGCTGCGGGCTGTGAGCACGGAGGGACCGGCCGTGCACCCTGGGCACAGCACCACGCAAAGCCCTCCCTCTGTGGGGCTGCTCGTGCTCTGAGCAGGTCTGTGCCCCATGTCCTTCCCTCACAGGGGCCTGATGGGCAGAACTGGAGGTTGCTGGTAGCCCAGAGGGTGGTTTTGCCTTCTATGGGGTGTTTGCCTCCCGCACATGGCTGGCTCACAGAGGAAAATAGAGCGAAATGTGCCCAAAAATCCATCAGGCTTTAATGCCCTTGATGTGCCCTCCAAGGGGATGCTGGTGGGCATTGTCTCTGGGGCAGGTGGTGACAATCCAATGGTGTGCAAGGAAGAGTGGCCCCGTGACAGGATGCTGCCACCTTCCCACTCCCACCCCCAGATGGTACACAGCTTTTTTGGAGATGTGTCCTCCAGGAGAAGCAAAGCCTTGCTGTTAGGAGACTTGGAGCAAGGCTGACAGAACAGAAAACATTTTGAACAAACACAGCTGGCTTTCACCCAGCGCAGCCAACTCTTTGGCCAGCTGAAAAGAAATCAGAAGAATATTGATGTGTTATTCTTTTTTTTACCCTACAGAAATTGTCAGGCTTTTTTTGGTCAAATGTTAGTTTCTGAATGCAAGGTTTTCAGTTGTTAGCTATTATTTGGGAGGAAACCCCCCCTCCCCAGAATGAGGCACTTCTCTGGGTAACTCACAGGCTCAGCTCTTTGCCTCTTGTATTCTCAAACGATTAACATTTTTTTGCTTTGCACATCATGAATATTCTACACTTGAGCTGTTACTGAGTTGTGCTAGATCAGATAAATAACATGGTGTTGCTTTTATGGCAGACTGGATAAAGATGCAAATAATACTGACATTTACTTCACAGTTTTCTTTCTGTGATCCTCTGAGTGAGTAAACTGGATTGCTGAGATATTCATGGGAAGGAAATGAAGAAGGGTTGTCAAGATGAAAGCAAATTTCCTTAAAACTTAGCCAGAAGGTTCTTGGCAATTTTTTCTGTTATTTGCTCAGCTGAATAGGAGCCGCTTGCAAATATATTTTGCACAACCGCAAAAGGAAAACTCTTGTTCCCGTGGCACCTCTGACTGTTTTTTGCACGCTCTTTCCCTGAAAAGCTGACGATTTTGCAGCGTTCGGTGTCTCTGCAGGGTTTCTGGTCCTTCCGTGGCGGCAGGTGTGCGGCCGTGACCGAATGAGCCCGTGCTGCCCGGCGTGCCCGCGCTGTTTTCCCCAACGCTGGGATCCCCGCCGAGGAGGGCCGCGGTCCGCTCGGCTGTCGGGTGGGCAGCGGGGGCTGCTGAGCCCTGCCAAGGCTGACCGGGGCGCTGCGTGGGGTGAGCGGGACCGCGCGAGGGTCCTTCTGGATGGTTCCCTTTGGAGGCTGTGGATGCAGATCGCTCCTGGCTGGGTACCAGGGCACGGCCCCGGGCTGGCAGTGGCGGGGCTGCTGCTGAGCATCGCGGTGTCCCCCGAGCCACGCCGCCGCTCCCGGCTGCCCATGTGGCCGCGGCGCCCGGAGCGATACCCAGCGAGGGGTGAGGGCGGTGGAGAAGGCAGGAGGCTGAGGGGGCCCGCGTTGTGCCCGACCCCTGCGGCCGCAGTGGCTGAGCCTGAGAGGAGCGGCCCCGCTGAGGGCGGCTGGGCAGCGGGGCCACGTCTGTGGGGCGACGGCTCGCTCCAGATTCCTTTCGTGGGTGAGAGAGGGGAGCGGGATTGCAGCACTGTGATCCCGCCGGCACGTCCCCGCCGCCGTGTCCCCGCCCGCCCCTGCCCGTGTCCCGGCGCTGCGGGCCGCGTCCGCCCCGTCGCGGGTCCCGCTGAGGGGAGACACGGTGAGGGGGCGCGTCCTTTGGCCGCCAGGGGGCGCCGTGCCCCTTCGCACGGGCGCTCGCGGATGGTGGGGGCGTGGCCGAGGCGGGGCGCGGCGCGGGGATTGGCGGGGCGGCGGCGGGGGCGGGGCCGGGCGGGCGCGGGGATTGGCGGGGCGGCGGCGGGGGCGGGGCCGGGCGGCGGCGGGGGCCGGCGGCGGCGTGGCCGCGCGCGCCACTCGCGGCGGCGATGTGACCCGGGCGGGCGGGCAGCGGCACCGGCACTGCCACCGGCCCGTCCCGTCCGCGGCCCGGCCCGCCCTGCCCCGGAGCCACCCGGCCCGCGGACGCACCCCCCATGCCCGCTCACGGCCGCCCGCCGGTAGGGGCTGACGCCTGCGGGGCCCGAGGAGGCGATGGCTGCGGATCTGGTGGTGCTGCTCTGCCTGGCCGCCGCCGCGGCTGCCGTGGAAGGTGAGCGGCGACCGGGACTACCGGGAGCGGGTGGGATGCTGAGCCGAGGGTCTGTGCGCCGCCCGTGGCGTCTGCAGCTGGGGAGCAGGCAGGGAGCGACTCCCCCGCTGGAAGGCACCGGCAGTGGGCTAGATCCTGGCCCCGTGGCCCCGGCCTCTGGTGACAGCCCGGGTTACCCGGCCCGCGGGCGGTGCTGGCAGCCCGTGCCCTCGGGAGGGGGGGCCAGGGATGGAGGAGGAAACCCGTCCGCATCCGCGTGGGGCTCGCCTCCCCTTTCCTGCGGAGCCCTGCCGGGTGCCGCGGTGGGGTCACCTCCGAGGTCCCTTCTGGTCCCCGAGGCCGCGGTGGGGCCGTCTCCGGAGCCCGTCTGGGTCTGCTCTGCTGCCCGGGGCCGCGGTGGAGCTGCCTCGGTGGGCCGTGGCGGTGCGCCGAGCCGCCTCTGCCAACCCTCCTCCTCGCAGCCCCAGCGGAGGATGGATGCGCCAGGAGCCGTGGGCAGGTGGTCTCCGTTTCTGGGGGTGAACTGAGCCGGGGGACGCTTTGCCCGGCCATGGAGCCACGGAGCAGTTGCGTGCTCGTCCTCTCAGCACAGTGCGTGCCAGTGGGCTGGGATCTTTTCCCCGTCTCCCTCTTGGTCGTGGGATTTGCTGGGCAGCAGGAAGGTGCCTGCAGCCAAGACCCAAGCTCCGGGCGGTGGCCTGGTGGGACAGCCAGCCCACCCCAGCCTTGGTGCTGTGTCGCTGCTCCGTGCCCGGCACGGTTCTTGAAGTATTGCTTCGATTATTTTGTCTCTTTATTTTGCCACGGCCACCTTTTTTTGCTGGTGCAGCAGCAGCTCGTGGCAGGGTTGCCCAGCGCCGGAGCGGTGGCTGCGAGCAGGGGACGTGGTGCAGCCCCTCGGTTGTGAGCAGCGAGAGGCGCGGGTGGGGAGATGATGCTCAGGCTCTCAAACCACTGCCGGCCGGCGTGGGGCTGGCCCTCCTCGGGGGGTTTGCATGTGGACATGGCTGTGGCTGAACTGGAAGCTGATGGCAGGAGACCGGCTCAGCTCGGGCAGCTGGTTGAGGAGCTGGAATGCTGCTCCGGTGGGGCTTGGCCGTAGTTCCTCTCTGCTCGGAAGCGCGGCTGCGGGATCGTGGCGGGGAGGCCCGCTCGATGCAGCATCCCCCTTCCTGCTGGCTTTTGGCTGGCACACGTGTTTGCTTTCCGTATTTCTGGGGCTTGCCTGATGCCATCTCTGTAGGAATACCTGGAGGTGGGAGTGCTGGTGCCATGCCGGAGCGCGGTGCAGCGAGCGCGCGTTTGCTCGGTGGCCAAGCCGCCCGTGAAGAGGCGAGACCTGTTAGCTGTGCCGTGGCAGCGGCAGCGGCTTGAGGCGCTGCTGGAATTGCGGCTGGATGGGAGACTTCGGCTCCCTCCTGGTCTGAGGCCACTCCTGGGTGTCACCCCCAGTGTTCCCCGGGCTCTCCCCGGGAGCACTGGTAGAGTCAGTGTCCCTGCCCAGGACCAAACCTGTCGAGGAATGGTGATATTTCTACTCTGCTGAGGAAGTTGCTTGGATAGTAAAGTAGTATCCTAGGAGAGGTCTCAGATTTCAGGGAAAATGTTGGATGGGGAATTTCTGAAGGTAGAGCAATCAAATCTGATTTGGAGTTAAGGCGAGAGTCTAAAGATGTGGTCATGTAAAGAAAATGCCTTTTAATGGGGTTTATTTAAATCTTACTGGATCTCTTGATACAGAGATTGAATTTGCTAGATTGAAACATGGTTTTCGGAGCATCTCCTGGGACCTGCCCTGCCCTGGGCTCTGGCTTTTCCCCTGGAGCATTGGCGAGGCTGGATTAGCCGGCAGCACTCTCTGAAATCATGGCAAAGCCACGGCTGGTGCCCTGCTCTGCCCTGAGCTGCAGAGGCAGCTGAGCCAGGGATGGCTTCCTGCATCCCAAATCAGCCAACGAGACAAAAATTCTTTTGCCTGTGATGGTGGGGGAGGCATCTGGGGGTCTGGACCTGGCTGGAGTGGGAGGAGGATACAGCTGGAGTCAGGGCACAGGCTGCCTCCAAACCACTCTCGTTATTCTCCATAAAACCTTGCTAACTCATTGCCTGTGGCACGCGAACCTGGATGTAATAGAGTAACTTATCTGACTTTTTTTATGGTTCCTTGACTTTTTGCTAAATCCTGTGGCTTAGCTGACCCTTTTCTGCTGGACACCTGGACGTTTGTAGTAATTTATGATTTTTTTTTTTGTGGCTTGCAAAGAGGAAGAAGGATGTGAGAAGATGACAGCACCAAATACTCTGTCTCTCCCACACCCTGCAATCACTCAGGAGCCGCTCGCGTGCTCTCTCTCGTGTTAGCTGAACCAAATATAATCCATTTAGCATACAGAGAGGGTGGTAATGGACTGACATTACATGTTTTAACTCAGGTTGGGGCTGTTGGTAGGTCAGATGGGGCTGATGACCATTCGGTGCAGCTCTTCTGCGTACTCTGTTTCATCTGCCTAACCTGCTCGCCTCTCCAGCATCTCCCTCCCTCGTGCCTGCTCTTTTAAAACCCAGTTTTTTCTCTCTGTGCTTGCAGCATCACAATAAGCAGAGCACAGGAGGGAGGTAGAAAGCTCTGCTTGGGGCTGGTGGACCCGGCTTAGTTTTCTTCCCCTGCTTATCCACTGGCTTCAGAACTGCTGCCTGGGAGGAGAGTAGGGATGGGGTTTGACTGGAGAGCGAGTCCCTGGCTCGTGCTCCGTGCCTGCCCTGCTCTCCTCCCTGTTGGCTCGGGATGCACACATCTGTTGCAGGCATCCTTTGGGCTTCCTGCGCTTCCACCAGGCGCCGGAGCGGTGCCTGTGCCGAGCAGCCTGGGAGCTTCCCCGAGCACCAGCACCCCTTGGGCTCCCACCTCTGGCCCAGCTGCTCCACCCCGAGCTGAGCCCTTCTCAAGGAGAAGCTAGAAATAAGTCTTCAGAAGAGAATTTGCAAGTGCAAACGGTAACCTTCATGGGAATTTGCAAGTGCTACTATTCAGCTGTCCATTTACTCTTTTTGCTTTCTTTGCTCAGACTAACTGAGGGAAAAAAGAAAGCCCTAAGGGGAAAACCCTTATTCTTGGGATGATGAGTGAGCCCAGATTTTGTCAGCCTGAAGGGAAAGTGTTTTGTCAAGTCATGGAAAAGGGGCTTGACATTGCAGATGCTTATGCTGCTTTTTCTTTTTTTTTTTTTTTGACTAATTCCTGGTATCCCTGCTCATGGAGAAGTGAGGTCTGTGTTTTCCTATTCTTTTTGGATATTGGAGTGCTGCATGTTCTCCCGTGTGTTAAGCGGCCCTGACTGCTGTGGCATGAGCTGCCAGAGGGTTTGCTAGGTGTCCTCTCATCCATGTTGGGTGCAGCCCCTGACACAACAGGAGGGAATAAAACCCTTCCATTGGTCTTAGAAATTGGAAGAAAATACGGATGTTGGATGATGAAAGAGGTCAAATATGTTTGTCTGGATCTGGATCCAGGCTATGGTGCTGAGTAATTGATGTTTCTAGCAGAGATGGGTAAGGAAAATAAGTGCTCAGATTTGATGAAAAGGGGGAAATGGTATCTTGGGCAATGGGTGACTCTATGCTCAGCAAATCAGATCAGCAAAGTCTCAGAGACCCTGGTCCTGGTGCAGTGGGAGTGCTGTGGGATGAGGCTGATGGAAGTGATGCTCAGAGCAAGGCTGAGGAGGCTCCTGTGGTGTGTGCACTGCACTGGCTGAGTCCAACCAGCTCCAGGGGCTTTTTTACCTCTCCCAGCTGGGGGTACCCTGAGCTCAGCACACATGGAAAGGGCTTCCTGCAGGAAGCCCAAAACTGTGTGATGCTGCCCAAAGGGCACCATAGTGCTTTGTTCCCTCTAAACAGACAGCGTTGGTGTGAGGAGCCATTTAAGGGCACAGCAAGGCCAGGCAAATACTTGGGGTTATGGGAGGGAATGCTTTCCCCAAATATTCCTTACGATTTGAAAGTGCATTGCAATTTGACTTTGTTCTGCTGCAAAGAGAGCTCTCAAGGGTCGATGCACACATCAGTACTGGGGTAAGGCAAATGTTAAGGCTGGATGTTGGCTAGGTGGCAATTTGGGAAGGCATCTCCCCAGCTGGAATGGTAGAAGGTTGGAGTAAGTGTTGCTTACAGGGGTCCCAGGTTGGTGTGGGAGCAGAAGGGTGTGGAAAAGGATGGAGTGATGGCAGAGTAGTCTCAGGAAAGAGCTGGGGCCTTGGGTGGCCTCTGGACTCTGAGCTGGCTATTGCATTGTTCAGCTTTTTGGGGTAAACACACAGACATTCCAAAAACGAGCAGCTTGAGAGGCTGACTGAGAGTGTGCAGGGAAGGGAACGGGCACAGGGTGTTTGCAGACACAGCCCTTCCTTTCCTTAGGGACAGTGGGAGCAAACCCTTGCCCAAATCAGCTCCATGGCTTCCCAGATAAGTGGCAAGTGTGGATGGGCTCCCTCCTTCCCTGTAAATGTTGCTCACAGCCACAGCTGAGTTTTTGGAGCTCTTTTATTTTGGTCACCATCCATTTTCCCACCAAGTCACATCATGAGAAATAGTGAGAAAAACAGGACACGTGTTTTGTAGGCACTAAAGGATCTGTGCTCTATTTATTTATTTCTCACAACTTTTGAATTATTGAAGTGCATTCAGGGGAGATTAACTTTCCCTGCTCAATATTTATTATTGTTTCATTTCCCTGAAAGTTGGAGCTACAAGAGCTTTGATGAATGGGCTGGAAGGTTCTGTAGTTTCTCTATGGCTAATCTAAATATGTCCGTATCCTTTGCTGAAAAGCTAATTTGTAATTTCCTATGGTAATGCTGCTTAGTGAATTATAATGATACACCAGGGCCTGCTTTTCATCCCAGCCCTCTGTCAGGGGAATAACGCTACCATTGGAAAACGGTGTGAAACCTGGAAACTGGCCATTAGTCCCCTAAATTTCTGGTCTAATAACAGGAATC